GGAAGCATTTAAACATATGCTCACTGAGTGGAACGAGCACTGCTGTGTCTAAACAAGGGGCACGAATGCCACATGCCATGTATAAGGCATTTGGTGGGGTTTTCTTTTCTGTAACCACAGACCTCTTTCTTTAAATAAATACAATGGAATCATGTAGAGGGGGAAATGATCCAGTAGTTTCATTAATGAGACAGAAACCATCACAGAATGGTGCCCCAAAATGTTTTGGGTTAGTGTTCTCATCTTGATTACTAATAGAAGATAGAAGGAATCAGTATACTTTCTTCCATCAAATATATGTATCCTATACCATGGATATCTGAACAGCTGTAAGGTGTCTGTTTGTAATGGCAGCTAAGTAACAGAGTGCAGAATATTTATAAGAACTGATCCCATATTAAATTTGACTACTTATCTCTATAATTTTAAACTTACACTGAACATCACATGATACATATATCGAGCACATTCCTCTGTGTTTAAAGGCACTCTTTCATCATTTTACCTATAATTGGCATGCCGGCTTTTCATTTCCTTAGAAAAAGTCGATGTGCTTAAATATTAAAGAGAAATGAATCCAATTCAGATCCAATGTTTAAACATGTGAGACATCTGTCATCACATAACAAAATAATGCCCATTACCTTTGTAAAGGTGCTACCATCAAACAAAATACTTGCTGAATCACTCTTTCCTCACCCTCTGCTGCCAGGGCTCGCCATTCATTTCACTCATCATTGTGCTGGATGACAATTTCAATGCAGACGGGGGGATGTTGTGATGCCCCTGAAAAGTAAGCTGAGGTTCATCTGTATGCTAACCTCTGTGCTACTTACTTAGAGTCAATTCAAAAGAGCAATTCATCAGTGCTTTTAAATGACACACTGGAGTTGGAGCATGCAGAATACTGAAGATATAGAGGAATGCATTCCTTTTTACCAGGTTGGGAGCCTTTCTGCAAAGGCAGCCAGATAGCATCTTCTCTTGCTGTTGTTCAATTAGCTGTCACCGACACTAGGTAATTGAAACACGAGGTTATATTTTAAAATAATACAGCAAGTTGAGAGGTATAGATAAATTTATGGTAATGCTAAGCACAGCTAGATGACAGTCCATACACCACTGACACAAAAATTATCACATCAGGCTAAAATACAAGAAAATTGGCCACAATGATTTACCAAGCCAACTTCACTACAGAATACATAATTGATTTTTTGCTTTTACATATAAAGTTGCTTTAAAAATATAATACTTTGGTTTAAGTATAATTAAAATATGGAGTACAAAGATCTCTACTAAAGGGTGAAAAATATCCCCTCATTCATTCTTCAGTTGCTCATTTAATCAGACATTCACTGTCTCTTGACTGTAAACGTAATGGGAAGCAGCTTATTCTGAACTCCATACTGGGCTGAGGCAATGAGCTCCCAGCGACCATGGCAGTAATGGTGAGGAGCTCCTGAGAAAGCGACACCCGCAGCTCCTGCATAAAGATGCAGCAATTATTCCAGCCTGCCGAGGCATTTTAAAATCACAGGAAACCAAGTCCTATCTCTGAATAATTTGGGGCACCAGGGGATCCATGTGGCATACTTAACGCAAGTAGGAAATGATTTTAGGCTGTCAGTCTGTGGATGGTTTTTTGGTTTTTTTTTTTTTTTTTTAGTTAACTATTTCACTTAGTTCATTTCAGATGATTTTCTGTGCTTTTTTTTTTTTTAAATCCTCTAGGAGAAACCAATTGCTTCATCCTTCTCTCCCCACCCCCTGCCCACCCCTTCTTCTTCCTAGTCTCCATTTGTTCTTGAGCCTCTGCTTTAGCTTGTAATGCAGTTGTTAGGTGCCATCAAATAGACTGCAACTCACAGTGACCCTATAAACAATGGATCCAAAACTTGCCGTGTCATGTGCCGTCCTCACCATCTCTGACACAGCTGAGTCCACTGCTGCAGTGAATCCTCTCACCTTTTTCTCTTTTGCTGACCCTCCCCATTTCCAAGAATGATGTTCTTCCTTCTTTAAGGGACTGGTCTGGCCCTCCTAACAATGTGCCCAGAGATCGTGAGGTGAAGCGTTACTATCTTTGCGAAGTAGCATCCAGGTCACACTTTCTCCAAGACAGACGTTTTTGTCCTGTTGGAAGTCCATGGAATGTTCAGTACTCTTCTCCAACAATACAGACAACTCAAAGGTCTTGATTCTTCGTCTGTCATCCTAAGTCACTGTCTAACCGTAGTCATTGTCCAGCAGATCAATTTTTATTAGTTTGTAATATCAACCTAATTTTGGGAAATTTGGGATGAATAGGAAATCAGGATGTGCTTTTATTTCTTTTATTACATATATTCAACATAAATGGCAAGAATTTTCTCAGCTGAAGCCCACTTTTGAGTTTCTTAAATATGTTAAGTGTGAAAGTAGAATTTAATGTGAATTCAGGTTATAACGGCTATTTGAAGAAATGATTTGGAGAGTTGAAGCAGAGGAGTAAACTTATCCTCATTTACCCCTAAATCATTCAAAATATTCTTGCAGACCTCTCTCTCCTTGTGTCCGTAAAGAGCACAATCTAACATTATGTTTGTTTTGAATTAAGGCTAATGGCTTATAGCCCAGTCAAATCAATTTATAAAGCCATTATAGGACTGAGATAACTAAGCAAAACGGACAGGGCAGCCTCTTCTGGACTCTGTTCTATACAAACCTATCTTCATCTCATCACACTGCTTTCAGTGAGAAGTGACTCATAGCTGACCCTCGATTGGATTTTCCAAGGCTGTGAATTTCTCCCAACAAGCCTCTGCCTCTGGAGAAGTGTGGCTTTGCAGTTAGCAATGCAATACCCTAGGGACTAGGTTACAAGCGCTCCCTTATACAAATGCAGGTACAGCCTAAAACACACTGCGGTAGCTTTCAAGAAAATCTAGTATGAGGTCTCTTAAGAATTAGTCCAAGCATTCAAAGTCCAGGAAGTTTTAGGGAGAATTTCTAATAAATATCATAGATATGCTTAAACAATGAGTTTTCTTCATTCTGTTGTACACAGAGTTGTTATGAGTTGAAACTGACTTGACAGCATCTAACAATAACCACCACAGGAACAGCAGTGACATATTAGATGCCATCTGACTTTTCTCTGAATATCTATCATGGACTAGTTCCTCTTCTCATAAGGTTAAAGCTTTATTATTAAGTGATGTCATAACGGGGCTATTTGTGTAGCCAGAAGCTGGATCACTGTATGTGTAATACTAGAAAAAAATTAAAATTACTTACTTTGCCCCCCTTAAGATGTACAATGCATGACATATTTCTCTAAGTTACTTAAAAAGAAACAAGATGGTAATCTGTTTGCTGATTAAAATGCATGGCCAGTATCCTGTTACTTTCCTCTCATTTCCAGGGGCCATCAGATTCCAGTTTCCAATAGGAGGGAGCATAGATGTATTTTTATGCACCATATGTTTTATGCATCTGGAGCTGGAAATGTATTTGATGCTATAATGTGTGCAGATTTGTTTTACATGAATGCACACGCCTCTTGAATTGTCTGGCTTTCACTGTGCTCACACGCGCTCTACATGGTGATGGACACAGACCAGCCCCAGTGTTTATAAATCAGCAGTCGTCAGCAGTAAGCTAGTCACACAATTAAACGACATGGATAACTGATGTTTTTGGTTTGATTGTCATTTATTTTTTTTTCTTTTTAAATAAACTCCCTCTACATGTAGGAAGCAGGTGGGATGAGAAACCACTGGATGTGGCTTTTCAACCATTCCTTAAGAAGCCCTACCTACATATTTTAAATTATCATAGAAAAACAAACACACAAGAAAACACGACAGCACAGATAGCAGTACAGGCGTGACTGTCATCATTTAAATTAGTTCCCTGACTTCATTATACACCCCATCCCTGGTCTAATTGATGTTCTGTCATGTTAGACATAGACTAGACACGTACAGCAACTGGACTCTTGGTTGTAAAGGTGCAGAGACTGCACAGAAGGAGCTTCTTGCTGACTCTGTTAGTATATCTAACATACATCCTTTCCAAACGGCAACGTCATAAGCTAGTTAATATAGTCTAGACTCTAGGGACAAAGACGAGCAAAACATGGTGATTTAGAAGTGCTTTGGCTCATTCCACTACTGACAGAGAATTCCAAGTGGCTTTATATTGTGCAAGTGTTTGCGAGGGCAATTGGATACTCCACAGTTACAGCTGTAATACTTTTACAAGTGAATACTTTTTCTCTTTCTCCTGAGTATCCAAAAGTGCTTTAGAGAGCAATTCTGTTGTCTCCCCGTCTCTAGATAGAAACAGAGGGAGAAAGGCTCTAGCAGGAGAGGTCAGCTGCTTTACAGAACACGTGATGGTACCAAGGCAGAGCCCTCCAACTGGGGTTTTGAGCTAGCAACACTAGTGTAGGGGGTCCTTTTGAGGGGGAAACTAATGAATAACCTATGAACAGCTCTCTTTGGGGTATATTTTCTAAGAATCTTGAAGGGATTCCTCAATTCAGCTTTGTCTAACTAAAAAAGTTAAAAAGAAAATTTCATTCCTCAAGCCATCAGCTCCAAGCCCCCCAGTTGGACTCTGGGATGCTCGTTCCCCTTGCGGCCCCCGTGGGCTCAGGCTGGCAGTGTGCGATGGAGGAGTGAGGCTCCTGGGCCATGCATAGAAGGCAGGAAGCAAGCTTCCTCTGCTGTAGCAGGTGCCTGGTTTAGGAAGAACATTCTCCAAAGCCTTGTTAGCGAGGTGAGAATTTAGAGGGAATGAATTTTATCCCTGAATCAAGTCTTTCTTTCATTCCCATGGTCTCATCCTAAAGATTTAAACAGGAAAAGAAATATGCTAAATTATTCCGAACTGTCCACTTAGAATGTGTTGTGGATTTTTTCAACTGTTACTATTTAAAAAAAAAAAGGAAGAAAGAAAGAGAGACACATCTCCAAAGGCTTTCTTAGGGTCTTGTCTTGTACTTCAGTCACGTCGCTTATTCTTGCAACAAGGTCTCTCTCCAGTTGAAGCCTCCAGTGGGCCCATGGGTAAGAGGAAGGATGGGTGGGTCTGTTAGCTGCCATATCCCAGTTTCTCCTAATTCCTCACAGGAACAAAACCCCAAGTATGGTATCTGAAGAAAAGACAGGGAAAACAGAAGACAGCAATTTACTGCTTTAACTTTTACCAAGATATTCAGGTAGCCTTAGACAATGACATTTAAGGATGAATGGTACTGTATTTGACTTGCATTATCATAAAAAAAATCAGGAAAGAAATGAGACAGAGAAAAGATGTGCTTCCCTCATGCCATCTAGTAAATATTTATAGATTGCTTCTTAATAAGGTGGTACAAGAGAGTACAATAATGCAGAATATGGAGGGGACGAGGATTAATTCTTATTGCAAGTTAAGAAAAATGTGGTAGCACCAACATTTTTGAAAGCAGACAACGGAAACATTGTTCAGTTTTTAAAACGTGATTCTCTCTTGCTCTGTTATCTTTACATGTGCTCAGGCCTCTGCTCTTCTTCAGGGCTGGAGCCTCATCTCTCCTAATCTCAGCGATAGGGCAAGGCCAGCAAGGCCAGCACTTCTTTTGTGTGTATTTTGTGAGATCCTGGCATTGCCTTCTTAAATGAGACCGGAATCTTTGTCTCCAAGCAGTTTACCCAAGGATAGGATGGACAGCTGCACAAGTAAGCTTTAAAAAAAAAAAGTAAATAAAAAAATGGGGAAGGAATTGCAATTGAGCTTAAAGCCATTTTCTCTGGGGGCAGAGAAAGGAAGAGTCTGGACCTGGCGGGAAGTGTGTGGGAGGGCAGCTGACCAGAATCTCTTCCCCCACAGACAGGAGAAGAGCAGCCCAGATGTGTTCACTGCCTCACCGGCTTTCCAGCTCCCAGCCTTGGTCCTGTGTTGGCTTTTCAGCCCAATCATTACAAATTTCTGCTCCCTCCGGCCTGTCTGCCAGGAACTCTCTTCTCACTGAGCTTTCAGATAACTAAGTTTTGGCTTGCTTATCTCTTCTCCTGCCAATCCAGAGCCTCTGGGGGAAATTCAGATAATTTGCTTCTAATTCTTAGTGACTTTCTGAATTTTAGCTCTTAGAAGTTAAGAGCTAGCTCTGATAGACATTTTTCTCTCACCCAGGACCTAACAAGGCACCTTTATTAAAATTTTTGGGTGAACACATAGATAACTCAATCTTCCCAGCTCAGGGCACACTTCAAGGAACTTTCCTGGGCAGGTAATGGCTGCTGCCAGGCACACCTTCAACACATGTAAGGGCGTCTTACCTTCCGGACCATTTGTACAAAGTCCTTGGAGTTCTGAGGTGACAGTCCCTGGAGCTGGCAGGTACACGCTTCAAGGGAAGATGCGTGGGCCACAATCAGGATGTTATTTCCTGGGCGGAGGAGGAGAAAGCAAGGGTTATGAAGAAAGTTCCTACAAAGACATATGCAGACTTTGTCAAACTAGAAGCCAAATACTCTTGGAAGGGGAAATACTCTTATTCTCAGGAAGACAGTCTGGCTAAGCAACATTCTGAAAAAGCAATGTTTCGTTAACATTTAAAAATGTTACCTAGACTGGTTGTATCACTTTACAATCCCACCAACAGTGTATGAGAGTTCCCACCTCTCCACATCCTCTCCAACAGCACTCGGGAACAATGATTTCGAAAAACACTACATAATTAGGAAGACTGGAGAGCAAGATGAGTAAGATGAAGTTTTGACCAATCTTTTCTCCCTTCATCTATCATGATGTTGCCAGGCCCAGTGGTAAGTAATTTTTTTTTTCTTTCTTTACACTGAGATGCAATCTGTATTAAAGGCTGCAGTGTTTAACCTTCTGCAGCAAGTGCTTCAAGTCCTCTTCACTTTAAGCAAGGCAAGGTTATTTCATTTGTAAAACAAAGCTTCCTGCAGCCACATTTTTCTTAACAGAGTCCAGTTTCTCAAATAATTTGCTCAACCTACAGATTAAAGCTGATTTAAAGGAAATAGCAAAAAATAAGACCCCAGGAATAGATGGTACCAATTGACATATTTCACCTAACAGATGCTGCCCTGGATGTGCTCACCAAGTTGTGCCAAGAAATCTGGAGAACAACAACCTGGCCAACTGACTGGAAGAGGTCTATATTTGTTCCCATCCAAAAGAAGGGTGACCCAACAGAGTGTGGAAACTATAGAACAATCTCACTGATTTCACATGCAAGCAAAATTCTACTGAAGACTATCCAAAAACGACTGGAACAACACATCAACAGAGAACTGCCGGAAGTCCAGGCTGGGTTTAGAAGGGGTCGTGGTACTAGGGATATTGTAGCTAGTGTTAGATGGATCTTAGCTGAAAGCAGGGAATACCAGAAGAATGTCTATCTGTGTTTCATTGATTATGCAAAGGCATTTGACTGTGTGGATCATAACAAACTGTGGCTGACTCTGAGAAGAATGGGAGTCCCAGAACATTTAATTGTGCTAATGCGAAACCTATACTTGGACCAAGAGGCAGTTGTCAGAACAGAGCAAGGAAACACTGCATGGTTCAAAATTGGGAAGGGCGTATGCCAGGGATGTGTCCTGCCTCCATACCTTTTCAACTTGTATGCAGAACAGATTATCCGGGAGGCTGAGCTCTATGAGGAGAAATGTGGGGTCAAGACTGGTGGAAGATCTATCAACAATCTGTGATATGCAGATGATAAAACCCTGCTTGCTGGAACTGAGGAGGACCTGAAGCGCTTGCTGCAGAGGGTCAAAGACTGCAGCCTACAATATGGATTGAGGCTCAATGTCAAGAAGACAAAGATTCTCACCACTGGGCCAACTGGCAGCATCAGGATGGATGGTGAAGAGATTGAGATTGTTCACAGCTTCAGTTTGCTTGGCTCCACAGTCAACACTCTCGGCACCAGCAGCAAGGAAATTAGAAGACGTATTGCCATGGGAAAGTCTGCTGTTAAGGACCTCTCCAAAGTACTGAAGAGCAATGGTGTCTCTCTGGAGACTAAGGTGCATCTGATACAGGCTATGGTCTTTGCTATCACTTGTTATGCATCAGAGAGTTGGACAATGACCAAGGAGGATAGAAGGAGAATTGATGCCTTTGAGCTGTGGTGCTGGAGAAGAATATTGAGGGTACCATGGACTGCTAGCAAAGCAGATTCATCCTGGACTGGGTCAAACCAGGCTGCTCCTTGGAGTCAAGGATTCTGAGGCTCCGTCTAACATACTTTGGACATGTTGCAAGGAGGGACAGGTCCTTGGAGAGGGACAACATGCTTGGTAGGGTGGAGGGACAGTGCAGAAGGGGAAGGCCCCCTATGAGGTGGATTGATTCAGTGCCTGGCGTAATCGGGATGGGTGTATCAGAGATGGTGCGAATGGCACAGGACAGAGCAGAGTTTAGGGATGTTGTACATAGGGTCGCTATGAGTCGCAAGCGACTGATGGCACATAAAAACAACAACAACAACAACAACAGATTAAATATGGATGGAGAAAGGATACAATCCTGTTGCACATCTTTTCTGATTTTGAACTAGGTAGCATTCCCTTCACATCACAATTAAGCGCTCTGGGATTCCCATTCTTCTTAATGTTAGCCGTGATTTTTTATGATCCAGTCAAATGCCTCTACATAGTCAATGAAGCACAAATAAACACTCTTCTGGTTCTTTGCTTTCTGCCAAGATCCATCTGACATCAGCAATGAAGAGTAGAATTGCCTCAGTGACAACTGTTGGGTTTTTCTTTTTTTCGAGACTATTACAAATTTATCATGAAAACAATGTAAGAGAATATGAAAATGTTTTCCTTTATTATAAAGCAAGTTGAAACATCTTGAATTGTTAACCATGATGGAGAAATTACTATATACTTAAATTTGGGGTAAAAAAAAATTACCACCTACCTTTACTTTTACATTCACTTATTATTTCTTTCGTTACTTGGAAACTTCGGCTGATGTAAGTATCATAGGATTCAGAAACCACTAATTTGCTGACTGGAATGTGAGGTCTGTAACAGAAAAATGAACAAAGGGCAGGAAAACATTTGATCCCTCCATGAAAACTGATAGTACTCTACATTTTTATTTTAAGATCTTTCTATAGTATGTCTGATTCTTTGTGTTGACTCCCTGGAGAGGCGCAGGATACAGGAAAGACTTTTCTACCACCCAGATGTGAAAACGACATATACAGTGACAAATGTTGTGTGTGCATGATAAATGCAACATTTAATGAATGTTTCACTCACGGGGCAACACGGATCAGCTAATTGTATTGAATGGTGGTTCTTCATGGTCCCAGGTCACAAACTTAACTTGTTCTATGTCGCGTGGCTCCAGGAAGCTAAGCAGTCTGTATAGATCTCTTTATCTATGTAGGTGACTAGAGGCTTCTCAAACCTTTCTAATGCCTTCCACGTCCTATGCTGTACGAGTAGGTTTTAGAAGCAGACATTCTGTCTCTCATGAGCTAATCAAACGTTTACCAGTCTCTTCCTTTTATCTGTTTCTTATTTTGTAGGCAGATCACACCCCTCCTCCAAAAGAAGCTCAGCTTTAAAAGAGGATGAGCTTTCCTTAAGGTCTCCAGTCCTGGTAGGATGGGGACCCTGACTTCAATTCCCAGGCTTCTGTGCCTGATGGGCCCATCTTTAATGGACTAGGCATTAATGTCTAATTACAAACCATCCCCTTTACTATTCAGAGTTTCTCTTTTATTCCTGGCCCCTGAGATGTTCGGCTTACTTAGTGGTACAACCATGTCATCTAAATGTGTTTCTTCTGTTACCTTTCATTACTTGGCGTGAGCGCATGGTGGAGAGGGGGATGAGTTCTCAGTGTGAATTGACAGTGATATCTTGACTTAAAAGTCAGGAGAACAATGTAAATACCAAATTCTTGAATTGGTCACTTGTTCCAAATTTTGCCCTAAAAAGTATGAAGTTACCTCTTCATTTATAGTGACTAATATGGCTGTGAATACCTGCTATTCTTAAAGTCTAAGTGGCTACCTGATAGTTAATCTAACTATATTATTCATAATTCTAACCAAGGAGGTTAGAAGGAGAATTGATGCCTTTGAGCTGTGGTGCTGGAGAAGAGTATTGAAAATACCATGGACTGCTAGGAAAACAAACAGATTTGTCCTGGAGAGGGTTAAACCAGGTGGCTCCTTGGAGGCAAGGATTCTGAGGCTCTGTCTAACTTACTTTGGACATGTTGTGAGGAGAGAGAGGGACATCATGCTTGGGAGGGTGGAGGGACGGCGCAGGAGAGGAAGGCCCTCTATGAGGTGGATTGATTCAGTGACTGGGATAATTGGGATGGGAGTGTCAGAGACAGTGCGATTGGTACAGGACAGAGCGGAGTTTAGGGCTGTTGTACATAGGGTCGCTATGAGTCGCAGGTGACTCGACGGCACATAACAACAACAACAACAACTCATAATCTACTGATAAAGAACTTTTTTAAAGGGTTCTATAGCAAGGATGTGGCTTTGGAGACTAAGTTACACCTCATAACACAGGTGAAAACTGACTAAAGAAGAGTGAAGAGTGAAGAAGAATTGATGCTGTGAATGATGGAGGTTTGAAGAATACTGGCTATGCCATGGTCTGCTATAAGAATGAGCAAATCTGTCTATAGAAAGTACAGTAAAAGTGCTCCTTAACTTGGAGGATGGCAAGGCTCTGTCTCGTGCACTTTGGTGTATTATCCGAAGGGACCGTCCCCTGAAGAAGGACGTCATGCCAGGTGGAGGGTCAGTGAAAAGGAGACAACCCTCAGTGGGACAGATTGACACAATGGTGGCAACAGTGGGCTTTACATGACTGTGAGGATGTTGTAGGACTGGGGAGGGAGTGTCTTGTTCTGTTGTAACAGGGTTTCTATGATTCAGAACTCACTAGATGGTGTCGAACAATAATAATTCATTGTCTACACACGGATTATTCACCTGTGGGTGACTGAGAAACTATTTTTAAGTCCAAGAACAGATAGTCTAATCTAATGGCAAAAATCAAAGGAATATGGGTTAAAGATTTTTAAAAAGGTTAAATAAAAATTAGTTCTTATTTTAGTGTCATGTTGTTATTGTTATGTGCTATTGAGACACCTGTGAAACCTGCCCTATCTGAAGACAATCTCATTGTCTCCAACAGACCTACTCCCATTGCTCCAGTCACTGAGTCAATCCATCTCATCCTGGGTCTTCCTCTCCTGTGCTGTCCCTCCATCCTCCCAAGCATGATATCCTTCTCCAAGGACTGTCTCTCCTGGCCATCTGCCCAAAGTTGTGAGACAGAGCCTCAAAATCCTTGCCTCCAGGGAGCAGCCTTTTTTCACCCTCTCCAGGACAGACCTGTTTGTTCTCCTGGCAGTCCTGGTATGTCCAACGTGCTTCTCCAGCACCACAATTAGGGTCATGAGTGACCACTATATGAACAACTTCAGGCAAGCCACTTGAACTCATAGGGCAGTCTTGTAAATACCCAGAGCCAAGTTTCCAGGATAAGGAAAATATTAAGGAGATGAACTGATGAATAGTATCTTAAAATATGACAGACTCATAGGATGTTAAAAAGGTTCATCAAGAAGTCCTGTGTGCCCTCTGGCTGGCCCGAGATTTTGCATTGCACAGTCCAGAGCTTGTTCAGCCTCCCCTGCTTTCCAAGTGCTCATTCATGTGTGTGAGTATGTTTGTTCTATGCAATCCTACGCTTTGTAGCATTGTGAGAACAGCACCACCAACATGCATAGATAATAGTTAAGTTGGGCAGACAGCAAATGATGAAATTAAGGAGAATTTAAAATGCTTTTAAACTGAAAAGGAACAATCAAGACCAGACCAGACATCATCATCTCACTCATCTTACAACAACCCACTGAGCTGCACTCTCAGCAGAGGGTACATACTCCTGTGATGCCAAGTGATTTTACTATGACACTGGGAGATGCATAATAAAGTGAAGAAAAATCAGTGGAGGGAAAACATAGTTTACATTATTGGTCACCACAAATGAATGCTGGATTTTCTTTGGTTTAGGTTTCTCAAATCACTGTGTGACTTTTACCAATATGGAAGACTGCTTGTGGGATAAGCCATAACTAGCCTGGGCCCCACGACAAGGCACAGGAGCATTTTCACTTCAGCCTCAGAGAAGTTACCTGTAGGTTGTATCAACACTCAGGTTGGCTGCAGCTAACTCTGATGGAGGTATCCATGTAGGCAAGGTGGTCCCAGCAACCCATTTTGTCCACTCAAATAATCCAGGCTCAACACGAATCTTCAAGTGATTTTCTTGTTGTAAACCTTAGGAGAAAAAAAAACAAGATGAAGGACATTCAACAATGCTCTCAATGAGTATATAAGTTAGAGGCCAAATGATTTAAATCTTCCAGTTCAGAGCTACTGTATTTTCCACTAGGCAACATCTACAAAGGAGTATGGAAAAAGTATTGTGCAGTTTGGACAGGGGTTCCTAACCTTTGTGTGTATTGCACATACATACAATTTGAATTTAATGTTCCAACATAATATATGCCAGCTTTAGGTGGCATTTGATTGAAGGAGGAAAAAAATCACTAGTCATTATCCACATGATTTATTCCACTTTGTGTCTATCTGAATTCCTTTTTCTCGGGTAAAATTCATGACTGTCTGACCAAGAAACTTCAGGAAAACTCTCAGCAGTTATGACTATATGATTTTATTAAACATAAATATTTAATAGTTTGATATATAAAGTCAGTGTTAAGTATCTACAAGCACCAAGTCCAAGTTCTAGTGTATTCTAATTATTTACACACAGTAATGTTCCTGTTTCATTATCTCTCTTTTTATTGTGGGGGGTGTGTGTGTGTGTGTGTGTGTATATAAAAACATTTGACAATTCTACATTTCTTACATATACAAGCCAGTGACATCGATTTGATTCACTACATTGTAAAATGATCACTAGTAGATCCGCTGCCAAGTTTTTCACCACCATCAATAGATGTTGTTGTTGTTGATTGCCTTCAAGTTGAGCACAACTCATAGTGACCCTATGGACAAAAGGCCTGAAGCCCCTCTACAACTATCAACATTTATCAAAGTTTGTAGAGTTTCCAGAGGCAAGTTGTTTAGGAAGTGGATACCACTCACTGCTCCCTAAACAATGATTCCTTTTGTTTGACTCTGTATACTGTATTTACCCAAGTTTTTCTGTACACATTTAATACATCAGCGCTTTCTAGCTGCAAAGAGAAGGCAGGTTACAGAAGACATAAAATATAAAATTCCTTATTGGTTAGTCTATATTTCTGCTTCAATCATTTCTGTAATTAAAAGCAAACTGTTCAACTCTGTTTATTCCAGTTTTCCTTTCAGTGAGATGAGAAGGAAATCTCTGCAGCTCAGGCTTCTACAGATTGCAGGGTGAGAGCTGACAATCTTTACAACAATGGTGCTTTTCGGGTTTTCCAATCATGCAACTAAAGAAGCAAGCATGATTAAGATGTGCAGACACTTTAGGACCATTATTATGTTGTAAATAAGAATAGCAAACAACCCACTGCTGCCGAGTTGGAACTGACTCATAGCTGACCCTCCAACAAGTTTTCAGAGGCTGTAAATTGCACAGGAGGAGACTGTCTATCTTTCTTCCAGGGAGCAGCTGGTGGACGTGAACTGCTGGGCTTTGGATGGGTAGTGTGACTCCTTACACACGAGGTCAGTAGAGGCAAACAAAAATGTAAATCAGGAGGAGATAATTTAACTGTGTGCATGCAAAAACAGATTGTGTTCCATAAACTCAAAGTGATCACCAGACACAGTATTCCACAAGCCTATAATTCATCCAAGAGGACTTTACATTTCAAGACAAAAACTCCACCTGCATCTCCTTCTTATCTAGCTTATGGTGCCAAGGTCTGACATTAATACCTGAGCAAAATTAATTACTGTAAAAATCATAGCTGAAAACATTCTAGATTTAAAGTTACTATACTGGTTAATGCTCCTTGACTGTAGGACAAAATAAACATTTACGAAAAAAATTTTTTTTAAAAAATTATTCGTATGATGGCGTACAGGCAGAGGGACTGATGACTGAGCCTGATCCAGACCTCAGAATCTTACCTTTCAGAATGTTGTGAGCTGTCTGAACGCAGCGCAGGGATGGGGAGCAATAGACGTGGTCAATAATGGTGTTACTCTCTAATAGCGCCTCACCTACGAAGAAAATCCAAAGAATGAATCCACTGGACTTACTCAGCCTCAGCTGGCCCTGATGACCCCACTTTCCCAGCTGGAGACTCACAGAGGACCAACAGTTCCAGCCCGACTTCTCCCAATCCTCCCATCAAAATTTCCATGAAAGAGGGCAAGGGACAGGCCCCTCTTTGTTATTTCCCTTTCTTTCTCTCTGGTGCTAAGAAGCAGTAGAATGTCTGCCTCAGATGATCTAGAGAGAGAACATTCGGATTTGAGTGAGAGTGATTAGATTGTGAAAATTAAAACTCATTTCAATTGTGTTCTCTATTAAAAAAAATTTCAGTTTGTCACATTCTTAGACCCCAGGGAGAACTCCCAACACCTGATAGTCACTTTCTCATTGTTTCCTTCCTCTATAAAATAAAGTCTTAATATCTTAATGTGGTGGTCAAGGTCTTCCACACTCAATCTACGCTCTAGAGACAAGCTGTTTCCCCTCATACATTTAAAGCTGTCTCTCGTTTTCATGACTTTGTTTAGATCTTTCTATCAACATTTTTTTGTGTGTGTATGTGTGCTCTATATATCCTGTGTATAACTCTATTATTGAGTACACTGTATTATATGTCTTCCACTCTAAGGATAGAGACTCATGCTTCAATCTCCAAAATCCAGAAATCAGTGGTCAATGAACAGTAAATGCCTGAATAGGACAAGGCTAGAAGCTGCTAAGAACTGCACAGCATCACAGCATTACTTCACTCATAAAAATGTAGTCCCTCCAGGCTTCCTCCTCATACACTGTTCCTTCTGCAGCTGGGCTGGCAGCTGCTGCTGTCTTAAACGAGCCTACTCACTAAATCCGGCCTTTCCCAGCACCGTTTCAGAAGCCTCTTGATAGAGACTGCATCTTACTCACTTGGTAAACCATCCCAGCTCTGAGCAGCGTCCTCGACAGGACTGCTATCTGATACATGCTATCCAAAGTTCTAGAAACCCCCAGGCAGTGGCTTGGCCCTGGCATTGGTCTTTGGAGGAGGCAGCTAGGAAAAGCTGTGTGGTCACCCAAGGACCCTTACCCACAAGCCTTGCTTGCATACATCCAAACACAGTGATTGGGGCATCTTTCTCATACTCCCGGAAGCCACCGCTCCGCTGAGGTAAGCTGTGAGGCATGTTCAGGTTGGTGCGTATGTAGCGGCCTGGGGGAAAAAGATCAGAGCTGTGTGTGTTTCTTGTTTCCTTAGCACTCCTGGCACCCCATTCCTTCTTTGCCAAGGAGCCGAGCCTGGCACTTTCTTTGTAGAGTGCCTTGGCACCCACTTTTCAGAAGACAACTCTGCCAAAAGCTAGGTTTGCATTATGCAGATGACACAACCCTGCTTGCTGAAACTGAGGAGGACCTGAAATGCTTGCTGCAGAGGGTCAAGGACCGCAGCCTACAATATGGATTGAGGCTCAATGTCAAGAAGACAAAGATTCTCACCACTGGGCCAACTGGCAGCATCAGGATGGATAGTGAAGAGATTGAGATTGCTCACAGCTTTTGTTTGCTTGGCTCCACAGTCAACACTCTCAGCACCAGTAGCGAGGAAGTTAGAAGACGTATTGCCATGGGAAAGTCTGCTGTTAGGGACCTCTCCAAAGTACTGAAGAGTAATGGTGTCTCTCTGGAGACTAAGGTGTGTCTGATACAGGCCATGGTCTTCGCAATCACTTGTTATGCATCAGAGAGTTGGACAATGACCAAGGAGGATAGAAGGAGAATTGATGCCTTTGAGCTGTGGTGCTGGAGAAGAGTATTGAGAATACCATGGACTACTAGCAAAACAAACAGATTCATCCTGGAAAGGGTCAAACCAGGCTGCTACTTGGAGTCAAGGATTCTAAGGCTCCGTCTAACATACTTTGGGCATGTTGTAAGGAGAGACCGGTCCTTGGAGAAGGCCATCATGCTTGGGAGGGTGGAGGGACAGCGCAGGAGCGTAAGGCCCTGTATTAGGTGGATTGATTCAGTGACTGGGGTAATCGGGATGGGAGTATCAGAGACGGTGCGATTGGCACAGGACAGACAGAGTAGAGTTTAGGGCTGTTGTACATAGGGTCGCTATGAGTCGCAAACGATTCGATGGCAGATGACAACAACACCCAAACATTGCAAACAGGTGAGCCTTCTGACATGCAAGCCTTGTATTTTAAGTGAGCCACACAAGCGAAACAAGAGGAAAATGAGTCAGGATGACTTGATGGGCTTGGCCACCAGCCTCTGCCACAGCTACCAGTCAACTGTGGCCAGAGGGCTGCCTGCTTTAGTCTCTGGCATCCCAATTTACAGAATGGGAAAAGACCACTTATCATTGTCCCAATACTCAAGACATTCAGGAATGATTTGAGGTGCAACAGATTACAGATATTTTCATGGCACTCTTAACCCTATGGGATTAGTTGAAAAAAAAATGTAGCTTAGTTGTGCCCCCTAGAGGCCATGACAGGTATACCAGTGCTGAGCTGGCCCAACAAACACTCACCTTTGGCATCAAAGCACTGGGACAGCCAGTACTTCCCAAATACAACATCCATTCTCTCTCCATGCCGACACACAAACAGACACCGCTTCTGAGGACCAGGCTGGCTGTTGACTCTCAGAGGCTGCAGACAGAGAGACTCCATTAGTAGGGATACACAGCGGCAAATCCTGCAGCCACGTGCCAATCGATCCCAACTGTAGTACACATTCTATGAGAGATGGATTACACCACACTATTCATGTTCTCTTTGCCACAGACTCTTTGGGTTGGCAGCAAAACTTTCTACACACACACACACACACACACACACACACACACACACACCCAGGCCATAAGGTAAGTATGAGCTGGTTTACTAACTTGTAGCAAAGGATTTCACATATTTTTCACCACATCAAGTGAAATTGTTCACTACAGATTAGTTAGTAAACACAGATAAGCCTGTGTTTACCTGACACACTATCTCTGGCCAGGATTATAAGTCAAAAAAGGTCTTTGATTCTGTAGAAAGGTGACGTGGGGTTGGGAGAGAGCTATACAGAGAAACAAAAACTCTGATATGGTGAAAAGTATGAAACTGTTCACTACAGATAAGGGAGCTCTGGTGGCCTAGTGACAAGAAGCTGCACTGCAATCCTGAAGTCACGTGGTTTGAAGCCACTAGCTGCTTTGTGGGAGAAGGATGGGTAATCTCCCATATGATTAACTGCCTCTGAAAACAGATTGGTATGTAAATACAAGTAGTTTGATGTCTACCTTGCTTATTGGGTAACCCAACACTGAGTTCTGCCACCATATGACTTGGACACATTCTTCACTACCTGAAAATCAGTTGGCCAACTGTAAAATGGAGACACTAAGACTCATCCAAAGGACCTCACAAGTTATTCTGAAGCTCAAATGAGGGAACAACTTTCAGGTGTTTTCTGAACTAATAAAGGCTTTAAAATGGTACTATCCTTGCTGCAGGGAGATCTCATGGCCTAGTGGGTAAGGAGTTGCACTGCCATTCCAAAGGCACAGGGTATGAATCCACCAGCTGCTCCACAGGAGAAGGATGGGCAATCTCCTCCCATGTGATTTACAGCCTCTGAAAACCTGCTGGAGGGTCACTTCTGAGTTAGTTCCAATTCTACAGCATATAACAACAACAACATCCTGGCTGCTGTTGTAGTAGGAAGAGCATTTGAAACATGAAGGCCATTTGTGTTACAACTCAGAGGTAACAACACTAGCCACTAATCTAGAGATAGCCTTCTGGTTGGGCGGCTTCCTTTCCCGAAAGGACTCTTCATCAAATTCACCAGAGAGCAAGGACTTCTATTTTACACATTGCTTGCCCCAAACATCTATCTCATCTTCAAAGTATGCATCTCTAAAGGGGGTAATTAGATCTCATAGCCCAATAGTTCTCCAGTAACTGAGTCCTGCCTAGCTTGTTACAATCACAATGAATGCACTCCTGGTGGCCACATACATGCTGGTGTCCCCAGGAATGGTTCAGAGAGGACCACTGCAATCTAGAAGAAATGAAGCAGGCACGTCTGGTCAAGAGATGGCTGCCTTCTCCAGGCGCTGGCTGAAAATCGCCTGTGACTTCATCCATAGCCACTGGTGAGAGTCAGCGCGCCCAGAGCCATCAGGGGCTTTAAGCTCGTTGCCCACTGCTGTGGTGTGGACAGCTGAAACCCAGGCCC